GCACTAGGCAGTCATCTACAGAAGGAGGTCTGACATGAGAATTATTTTCTCAGTGTCTCTTGTCTGTATAATCTTGTCATGACCCTTCACCTTCAGACAGTTAAAATTTGCTGAAAGGAATCCTGTGCCAGGTCTTCTCTTTGACTAAATCCTTTATTAAGTCCTGTACATTTTTAGGCCTTAAAAATAACAAATTTAAAGATGTATTAAAATTTTCTAGCAAACTCAAAAAATATTATTATTACTGTTACTATTATTCTGTTGTTGTTATTTTTGTTATTTTTGCTATTGTTAATACATAGTACAAAAGTTTACTAGAAAACTTATTCAGTAAATTTCCCAGGGATAATCCAAACTGCTTTTTCTAGAGAAAAAGTGTTTTCCAATCCCTTCTATCAAACAGAAGGGAAGTTACATTCTATTTCTCATTGCTAGTATTTCCCTGCTAAGAACTGGAAACCACTCCTGTGACTTAGACAGGGAGGCATAGAATCTACATTTCTTGCTATCATGTAAGGAAATGTTCTAAATGTCAGTGTTGTAGTGGGGATTTTTTGTTTGTTTGTTTTTTGTAAAAGAGATGCAACACCAATATTGAACACTTGGTTAAGGATAAAATGAAAAAATGTTTGCCTTAGAAGGGGCTTTAAAGATCATCTAGTTCCAATTCCTCTGCCACATGCAGGGACACTTCCATGAATCCTGGTTATTCAAAGCCCCATCCAACCTGGTCCTGAACATCTCCAGGGATGAGCCGTCCACAACTTCCCTGGGCAACCTGTTCCAGTGCTTCACCGTCCTCATAAGAAGGGCTTTCTTCCTAATAGCTAAACTAAACCTACCCTCTTTCAGTTTAAAGCCATTCTCCCTTGTCCTATCACTACCTGTCCCTGTAAAAAGTCCCTCTCCAGCTTTCTTGTTGGCCCCCTTTAGGTACTGGAAGGTGCTTCAAGGTCTCACACAGAAAAAAAAAATCCAATTAAAACCAAATGGGGATAAGACAGATGTATTTGAACTGAAACAAGCCAACTTCTATCTTCTGATTTCAAAATGTAATGACTTTGAGGGAAGTATTATTTAATATCATCTCCAAACTGTGCTTTAGGACAGTATTCTTGACTGTTTAAATGGGCTAAGTAGGTAAAATACAGCAGCTCATTATACACATGAGTATTGTGCTTCTTTCTAACATGAAGAACTTTTAATTATTACATCAGGTTACCTTCTTTCAACCTCTCATTACTTTAAAACACTCCATCATCACCTTCACAGCAATTTTCTTTCTAAAACTTCAATAAACCTTCAACCCTTGAACCAAATGTCCTTATTCCCCTCCATGAATCTTTTCCTGCAAGTGTTTTCTGTTCCTGTAATATTGTTGCTTCTGATTACTGAAGTCTTTTCAGTTCTGCATTGAGTTTTTGCTGTGCTTGCTTCTATTTTTCAGGATGGGTGACCTGTGACACAAGGACACTTGACAACACTACTGAAGTGATGCACCTCAGCTGCTGCAACTGGCCTCTGTCATCAAATAGGATTTTCTGCCTATTGGATCATTGCTAAATCAGTCTCCATATACTCGAAGTGTTTGTCTATCAGAGATGTAGTTAAGGAAACACTTAGAATGTACTGAAATAAACAGGAATTCTAGCATTTATGTCAAGCTGTTGCAGGCCTCATGTCACATTTCCCTGACAGTTTGTCTGCTTGATTTTTTTAGTGATCAGCAGAAATTAGAAATGATCATTCAGTTCTGCTTACATTCAGTTCTACATTCCATGCAATTACTTTGATTTAAATTCTGAAACTGGGTTAGAGATGGGATAAACCTGAAGCAGACTGAAAATAATAACAGTTTATCTTTTTTAAAAACGCAGATATGTGAATTAATAATCAAAAATAAAACTATATTTGAATTCATAGATGAAAGCTCATTTCCTGTGTTGTTTTTAGGACATGTAAAATTGCTCTGATAACACAGCTGAGAAGCTCATTAAGTATGTTTGGTCATGTAAAATTGAACCTCTTTATTCAGATGGGAAAGGCAACACCAGGGAAGTTGACCCTTATTATAGGTAAGTAATTCCACCTTTTGTTAAAAGTAATGCATGCAAAGCAACATTTCTTCATGAGTGTCATCCTGTTTGCCTAATTAGAGATTGTCACTAGTGATGGTAATGATTGTCAACACACAAATTGTATGGACAGGTTTTTGGCACCATGATGGAAATTACCTGTTTGCAACCAAATATTTTCAGTAAGTAATTTTCACATGGGTGAAATCCTGTTGCTTTAAATGCTGATATACTTATATATAGTACAGCAGTGCAGTGATTAGTTAGTGAGGGGGGGAACGATGATTAGTTATTACATTTATATTTATATATTTATATTACATATAATATTGCAGTCTTGGTGTGACTGTACCATTCAGGTGAGGTGTACTAACACACTTCTCTATTTTTGGTTTGAATTATTAATATAGTCCCTGTAGAATACAAGCTGAGTGCTAAATAATTGTACTCTGTCATGGGTAACTTTTAGTTACCCATGGAATTTGGAAAGAAAATTTCTTAATTTGATCTTTTCTGCTTTTTGAGTACGTATTTTGTGCGTTTTACAATACGGTATTCAATTGCAATCACATAAGGATACATTTCTACAAGAGCTTTTAACATGGGAATCTCAACAAGTTTCAGAGGTGGTAATTGAATAAACATAAGGAATTCTTTATCCTGCTTCAAAGCTTCTAAACATTTTGGATCTATGTTTTGAGCTGCAAATCTCATGGAATCAAGTTCTGCAATGGAACTTATTATTTCAAGATTCTAATTGTTGTCAAGCTGAAGACAGTACAAGAGTTGTATTTTGGCATTTTCACATCTGACTCTGCCAAAACGAAAAATCCAGAGATCCAGAGAAGTCAAAGTTAATCTGATGAATTCATAGGTTTTGATACATTTTGAGTTCTCACTGGAAGCTGTGGTAGCAGAGGGAAGGCCTCTTGCCTCAGACTTATTTACAGCCATCCTGAAGAATTTCTAATGGAGACCATCTATGACCTGCAGAATGTTCCCTCCATAACCATTGATCTCCACACAGGTTGGAAGGAAGCTCCAGGATAAAGAACACTGTCTTTCAAGTAATTAAAATTGTTTATAACTTTATCCAGTAGGTCTCCAAATTCACAGTATTACCAGCTAGCAGTGTGCTGCACTGGCAAGGACAGCTATCACCCTCTTCTGGACTTCACAGAAGAGTTAAATGTGTTTTGAAACAGAAGAATTTACTGTCCTTTGAGAGCACATACATTAGGATTTTCTTTTAAGCACTGTTGCAACATCCGAAATTGCTCAGATATTGAGAAAAAGACATTGCCCAAATAACTTTGAGGTGGATTTTTCTAAAGCTTTGGGTGGTCATTGAGTTCATTAGTGTGCTGCATTCCAAAATTCCTGGCAAATTTCTTCCAGAACTCGTTGTGTCTTTCAGTACTTTCAGTGTATCTATATACCTTGATGGTTCCATTAAAAATTACTGTCACTAAGGAAAGAAACAATACTTGTGAGCCCTACAATTAAAATTGCACTGAATAATTGAATGTTCAATACTTGATTTAAAAAAAAAAAAAAAAAAAAGTTTGCAAGTTTGAGTGAATCTTGCTGAATAAAATACTCTCATAAATTCATAGCTTATGAGGAATAGAAAATTGGAACAACCACACCAGTATACCTTTCTGATTTGTTACCTAATCTTGAGCCAGCTTTGATACCAGCAGTGGAGAATTACAGGACAAAACTACAATATGTGTCAAGAAATCTTTGCATGTTAATGGTGTTTTCTTCTTGTTTCTAAACATTTTTTTCCTAAAAAGGAAAGAAAAAAATAAAACCCACCTGTGTGCTTATTAAAATCTCAGTTTCCTCTAAAAGATTATTTCCTCTGCGTCAGGAAGTTGGCAAGCAGCAAACCACTTCTAAATCAAGCTGCAAGCTGGTACTGCAAAAAGCAGAGTTTATTGGTACCAGACATTTGTAAATAAGTAATTGACACTCATGCTATAACAATAAGCAATTCCTAAAAAAACCAAAAAACAGGGAGCTGCCAGAACAAAAAAATTGCAATGAGCTCCATCCAATGCTATATAGCCAGGGTCAGTCCCATCAGTGTTGGTCAAAGCAACAGCTCCAGGACCAGCTGGAGTTCTGTAAAGTGCAGTTGTCTCCTGCTTTTGCCTCTTCCATCCTCCTGCACAGACGTTCAGTGGGATCTATGGCAATGTTATCCAAAAAATGTGCCTGGATCCAAAACCTCTGGAATTACCAGGATTTGGATACACAGGGGACCAAGGTGACAGGCATACTACTTCCAGGGGAAATGGGCTCAGCACTTTAGCTTTTGAGGGAACCCGAGTCACTCAAACATGCCTCCCCTCTTTGGGTCAGCACTGCAGGGTCGTGGCTCAGGAACAAAGAGAGGGCATTTGTCCTTTCCTGCTCTTAATTATTGTGTGGGATACCATTAACATTCACAGTGTTTGCAACAGCAAATAACTACATTTTGAGGTAGCTTGTCCCCTGTACCCACCGTTTCAAGCTTTGGGCTGGCTCCCACCCCTGCCACCTCCAGCTTTTTCAGTGCTTTCCCCCTTACCTCCTGAATTTTTGCCACAAGCAGAGCTGTGTAAAGCTGGCAGAGCAGTGAGATGGGGCTGCAGCAGACATCTGGGGCTTTCTGAATAACTCATAGAAGCTATGTAAAATTGAACCTAAATAAATGGTAAGTAAGGATACAGGGTCTGTGTTGCATTGTAAGCACTTTTTTAGTAGTGGTGAACATGTGAAAAACTGAATTAGCTGATAAGGCACTTGAGCTGAGAGCCTTTATCTCAGTGAAACACTAGGATTTAAATGAGGGAGCACAGACCTTGAAGTTAACTCTGTATCTTCACTCCTATCTAGTACAGCAAAAGAGAGATATCATACCTCAGAAGACTGGTGAGCAAGGTAAGAAACCATAACTTTATTATTAGTGTGATTTAAAAACAAAATTAATTATTCCTTTGTGTACACTGTGCCCAGAGCAAAAGAAATCCAAAATAACTGCTTTCCCTTTATCAGGGACTACAGGTAAGGATGCCTGGATGAGGAGGAAGTGTTTGTTTTTTCTTCCCCACTGTGGGCAATTATTTTCAGAACACATGACTGACAATCCAAAGAACAAGATTTCTTTATATTTTATAAACATGGCCTTGATATTACATAATTTTCCTAGTAATTAAGGTTTTGAAAGTTAGAGGATAGATCTCAAAACTCCTAAAAGCCTGAGCTTAGAGCCTCTGTTATATGAGTTTCTGCTGGTTTTGACCTTCAGGATCTCTTTCTTAAATGGCTTTCCTAGAAGGAAAGCAAACTGGAAGGGATGAAATATACCAATTTTCTTTGCTAGTGGGGGTGTTGATGCAGGGCTCTAAAGTGAAAGCAGAGTGGGCTGGTGACAAGGAATAGTTGGGAATGTCTCTTCTCAGCCTCTGTCCAAGATATTTTATGGTGTTCGATGAGGGTTCTTTTGCTGTTGCTGAGACAATGAGCAGGGAAGTTGGAATATGCAGAAAATTACTTAAATTTCAATGAATTCTGGCTTAGGTGTCAGATGGTGGATGTACACTTGTTGAAAGTGTTGTTATAGAAGCAAATAAATCTATTTTAATAGTTTCTGTTTAAAAAATTGTTTAAAATCATAAATACTATAGTTTGCAAACAACATGAGACAAAGCAAATAGTACAGTAATGGATACACACCCACATTTATACTGTAAATCAAATATATGTAGAGTAGGAATCCATTATTTTTAGGAAAGTTAATGAGTATTTCCAAAGAGATGTTGCAATGCTGAGGCTATTCTAGGCTAATAGAAAAATTATTTGAATTGTTCAGTAATAACATCTTGTGTACTTGTGCCATGACAGCAGATTTCTGAAATGTTACTGAATCAAACTCACTCTTAATTCCCGTGATGAGTGACACAGTGAGTGAGAGCAATTATCTCCAAATTTAGCTATTCTTTTATTCTCAAACTGATGTATATTTCCACAAAACATTGACTGACTGTCTTCTAAACAACCAAAGTTCAGTCTTATGAAACTGCTTGCATGCTACTCTGTTCAGTTATGTGGCTCAGTATTTGTGGTGTGCAAGGAACTGTCTGTGCCTATTGTTTTTGTTCCCAGACTAAATCTCTGAAGGCTTTGGCCATCCCTGTTGAAGTCATTGGGCTCTGAAAACGCTCACAACTTTATTATGTTGATGTTAAAAGTGTTGGAATTTTCAAAGGCCTACCAACCAAATATTGCAAATGACAGTAGCTAAACCTTTTCATTTTATACAATCACTCATGTGACTTGGAGACCATTTCACCCTCCAAGCAAAGGGTTACCCAAAACAACTAACAGGGATATCAAGACCATTGCTTAATAACCACAGCCAATATTTTGCAATATTTATTGTGCTCTGCAGGAGTTTTCCTGGGATCAAAACTTGTCTGGTTTTATTAACAGTATTTGCAGTTGTGTCACATGGATTGTTTCATGTTATTAGAGCTGAATGCTGTAAGTTGCCAATTCAGAACTGCTAGTTATAGATTTTGCAGGAGAGTATTTGCATGCCGTAGTTCTAACAAAATGCTGTGTAATTTGAGTACCACCTTTATCCATCATGAGTCCCTCTGGTATGTATCACTATCCAGGAAACGTGTCTGGATACCTTTCCTACTTAACCTGGTTGATTTTACATTACACAACCAGGTGCATTATTTTCAACATGTATTTTTGAGTATTTAGGTGTAAACCGACCCAAGAGAAGCATACAGATAGTTCTCACTTAAACCAGTTTTGTAGAAATTATGTATGGGGATTTTAGAGATGACCTTCATGTTTGTTACCAAAACTCAGCCTACACACAGACACAAGTGCAATCCGATATTTTTACTTGCATAGCTATGTGATTTTTTTTTTTTTCAATGGATTTGCATGTCTTTCTGTAAAGAACTATTCTTCATAAGCAGCAGGTAAAGAGAAGAATATGGGTAAAATATTTGGGGAAGAATGTGAAAGGAAATTTAATATATTTAATCTTATTATACATTTTTCTACATTGAAATCAACAGGCTGCAAATATATTTTGCTACAAAGCTTTGTGTAAGAAATATCTCTATAAGAAAATACATCTCATTAAACATTTCCTGTAAATAAATTATCCCAAATAACTGAGTTTTGCAAGAGCAAAATGGCGGGTAGGCCAACAAAAAGAGCTAAAATTCCATTTCTGCAACCCCCCTGCTCATGCTGGATATAATTTTCTTTTATATGTGGTGACAATGAGAGCACTTAAGTTCTTCTTCTGAGTATGTGCTGTGTCAGTGTAAATAAAACTAGCAAAATTGGTTCCTCAGCTCTTTTAGGATTTTTTAAAATCTGAGCCTTATTCCTGTTCCAATGACACTGGAAAATGCTGGAGTTAGAAGAGTTGTTTCCAGTAGGGAAAGAGGTGTGTGAAATACTCTTCTGCTTTAGACTCTTATGAAAAACAAGGGCAATGAAGCTGAGGTCCATGATCTAATTAGGAAGACTGAATCAAGTGGTGTAGCTAAGCTAAAGCTTTAAAGCATCCCACTGGTGGAAAAATGTGTCAGGTAATGGTGATGTGGTCTTCAAAGATAAACTACATACTGGCCTACCCATGTTGTGCCAAACCAAGTAAACAGAAAAGTCTCTTGTATTATAGAACATGAAAATGGGTAATCATAAATGGGTAATTACAACTTAGCAGTAGGTCAATTATAGAATCAGACTTCTTTTAAAGTAATATCAGTCTCTTTACCAAAGTTTATACAAAGGAATATTTGCAAATAAGTAAAGTTTAAAATGTTTGAAAAGACCTGGGAGACAAGTCAAGGGACAGAGGCTGTCTTTTTTTTTTTTAACCAGTACACAAACAACATAGGGTTGGCAGCTGTTTCCACAGTCTATATATTTCTGTCATTCCTGGCAGAACACTCCAGAGTGAGAGGACATCAGTTCCAGGCTGAGTACATGCCGGAGGGTGGTATGCTGTGACATCACATGATGTTTTAACAAGTCATTTGTGGTCATGCCATCTTCTTACATCATCTTCTGCAGGAGAGGAGGTGCTCACAAGACCCATCTCCTCTTTCTTTGCTGTCTCGAGAACAAATCCATTATACTGCTGCAGAGTGCCATGAAGTGTAAAACTTTGAGTTTGTAGCAGTATGCCTGAAACACCTCAACAAATGCTGAGGTGTTATGTATATTGTATTATAACTGCAACAGAGAAACAACTTCAAAGCTCTTCATGTTAAGCAGCTCAACACACTGCTATTTCTTTTGGAAATGTCTATAATGCAAGAACGCTTAGGCAAGGACAGTATATTTAGGACTAATGAGGAACTGCATGTATATAATTCTGGATTCAGCATGCACACATATTTGCTTCATCTGTTCAACCCAACGTAAATTAGCAGTAAACTGAGGCAAATACAAGTGATTAAGTGCCTTACTATGACATTGAACTACATAAAGCATTTCAATTTACCCATGTATAGAAATAAAACCCTGTTTAAATGCCTCCTCTTAGATAAACTGTAGCTCTCTTGAAATTTGGAGATGGCCAGTTTTCACCTTCTTCATAAGGGCCTGCAAAACACAGCACTCTTGTCCTGCAGGAGTGCTTCCTTGTTGAAGTGTCAGCCCTGAATAATGAGGGCATGTGGACATTCACAGTAACTTTATTTCCATTTCTCACACCTGCAATGTGACCAATAATGTGTTGACAGATGAGTCTTCCTGCAATGCACTGCTTCCTATAGGAGTACAATGTATACAATTTCTGTAGAAAGTCCTTACCACGCTGGAGACCCACTGTAGCCCTAACATCACTGAACCCCTGAAACATCATGGGACAACACAGCAAGGTAAGTGACATTCATTTCCACTCTACTTGTTTGCATACTAGCATTTCCCACAAGCTGTAGAATTATTTACAGGAGAACTGCGCGGTAGGTGAACTCCAGCTACACTTGTGTTTACCACCAGCTCAAAAAGAAATGCATTTAGTGTGACTTCTACTCATACTCTAATGGTTACTTTAGCCATTCCACTTCATTTGCAGTCCCCTTTTTCCACCATGCCATAATGCATTAAACTGATAAAGCCACAGTCACTTAATACTGTCTTCCCAATCCTCATTCAGATCTTCTGGCACACATGAAGTCTTGATTTAGAAGAGGAGGTCGCATCTTTCCATACTTTACAAGACAAACCCTTGGCACAGTCACATCGTTGGAAAATCTCCAGTCCATGGGACCCTTTCTTGCGCTGTTTGGTGCATACCTCCCCCTGATGCAACACAGGCTTGCAAATTTTGGTCCAGAAATGGCGAGCGCAGCAGTGTCCCTCAATACAGTCTGATGACCGTAGGCAGGGATCACCTTCATGTCCTAAAAAGAGCAACCACATTATTTTACCTCATGGGAAAATGTGGAAGTACAGATTCAGTGCAGACTTATGCAAATGAAACTGAGAAAAAGGAGAGGTGATATTTCCACCTGTGGCTATTTGAAGGATGTAAACACAAGAGAAAGTATTAATTAGGAAGGTTCAAGGGGGTAATGCGTAAGACTTAGTCAGGAGAAATTCTGCTGCAGGATTGTAAGCAGAATTACAAGTGTTCAATTACATGGCTGTTACAAGATGAGAATGTCTGCAGTCTTGCATGACTGATAAAATGATTGTCAGTCCACATCTGATACAGAGAAGAAAGCAGATGCTGTTTCAATCACAGGAACTGTTGGTTGACATTACATCACTTTCTGAGTCATGCTGTGAACTCTCACAATAGACATTCACTCCCTGTGAAATTACTGCCTATTTCTGGTTTCCACTGCTGTATCCTAACAGCACTAACATGATTCATGACATGAAGGAACAGGCCAGTGCAGCCCAAATGTGCTCTTACCTTTTATGTGTGACAGCTTGGATCGTGGCCTCCCCAGGTTGTGCCATCCCAAATCCTTGCTTGGATAATGACCATTCTTCTTGTTGCGCGGCCCTTCTAGAGCAGGGATGTGAGGAGTAAGGATGCTTTCAGTTACTGGTATGCAAATACCTGCAAGGAAAAGACAGCCATTCAAAGATTTGAATAAGAGGAAAAGCAGCTGAGAGACATGCACTGACCAGGTCAGGATGATGAAAGCACTGGGGTTTGGCCTCATTGATGGTCAGCTGTAATCACACGTTCACCTCTGGGTCCTGGCACTTAGCCTCACCACAGCTGTGCTTCACTCACTTGTCAGTCTCTCTGTCACTCTGGCGTTATGGTCCGAGCCCCTGGAGAGCTCCTTACAGACATCTCTCTCCAGCTTCCATGGGAATGCAAACAGTATGGTTATAACCCTCCCCAGGGAGAGTAGATTCAGGATTCATTAGGTCTCCTTTGCTTCCTTAAAATATGACTTCTGTGCAGTCTTCCAGTGAATCAAATCACTGAAATGTAGAGCTGTGCTTTTAGGCAGCAGCATTTTTGTATTTCTCCACCACAAAATATAAGAAAAGACTGGTAATACCTGAGCCCTAAACACAGAAATACTATTAAAGAAAATTAGGCAGAGTGGAATGAAGATGACAATTAAGTTTCCTTGGCTTAGAAAAAGAAGTGCTGTCACCCAGGAAAAAATACTGTTTCTGGGCACACTCATAGAAACAGATGATGTCAAAAGGCTGATTTTCTGCAGAAAAGCCCAGAGCTGGCAGCCATACCGTTGTTGCAGCGGTTCCCAGGGCAGCACATCCCGTCCCGATGGCAGCGCTTCTTCTTTCTCCGGCACATCATGCACGCAGACGTGGCTTGGTGAGGGCTGTGGCAGTACCGCCCAACTTCACATTCCTTGTCGTTAGTGCAAGGATAGGCCTGGTGGGGAACAGAAAGGTTTACAGTGAGGCACTCCTTTGCACAAGGGGGGCTAGGAGATGCAACTAGGGATGCTCCACTGCAGCCACACAACAATCTTTAAGCTCACACAACTGCTGGTCATTGCTTAAAGAATAAGAGATGAAATCTGCTTGCTCATGGTTTCATCTTTCCTTACCTCAAATGTGTGTGGGCACAAGAGATTTCATATTTTTGTGGATTCAGGGATCTCATTCATCATAGGCAAGAGCTTAAAACTCCACAATTAACAATCAACATAGCCATGAAAGCCAGTAAAAATACTGAAGCACACCCTCCAATAGGTAACATTTCATTTTAAACTCTGAGACATTTTTCCTTTGACAGTTGTCAGACACACTGGTTTATTATCAACAAAGTCAGCATTGCCACAGTGAGTATTATCTGTGTCACACTCATTCAAATGTTTGTAACTGCACCACTCATCCCTGGCCCACACCAGTGGAACTCCTTGGAAGAGAACAAACATCACTGGTCAGCATTTCACTTTGATAACCTTTCATTTACTTATTGTCTTAGTATACTCCTTAAATGTACCACCTGCTAAACAACACCCTGTGGTATGCAGCATGGAATATATTATAGAGCACAAAATATCTTGCACATATAATTCCCTGCAAGCAGATATATGGGTATACAATTCTTCTGTATTCATCAAAACCAGCATCACCTCACAGGAAAACAGACTTTTTAAAAAAAGATTATGAAAGCACTTCATTCTCCCATAAAGATAAAGAAAACCTTGCTCCTACAAAAGGAAAAAAGAGGATTCTTGAAAGAGACATAATAACACACACTGCAACATTCCAGGATGCTCTCTGCTGACTCCCACACAGCTACAACTATGCTATCTGTCTGAATCTAATTTTATTGCCTATTAAATTAATTACAGATTTTTTTTGCCATTCCTCAAAATTATTGTTGAAGAATTTGTTTAAACAAAAAAAGATGACCATGAATTTTGTGCACTTTCTGGAAAATTATATTTACACTTCCTCAACTAATTTCCTCCAATAAATTTCCTCCAATAAAGTATTTCCAATAAATAAAAATATTTATTTTCAAAATGATTTTGCAATTAATTGTTGACTCCCCCCAAAAAAGCTCAACTGACTAATTCCCAGTGTAGAATGATTACTTTCCTGTAATCAGAAAAAAAACCACCTTGTGGCCTTTGAGAATGAACTTTGAAAATTGTTTCTTTAGATGGAGAGACCCTTGTTTATCTATCTTCATGCCATTCTGTTGAGAATCACATAAGAAACAGGAGGTCTTATAAGAAGACCAAACAAATTTCTCTCACATCAGTAGTGGGAGAGGAACCAATGCCATTTCTCATGTGACTTCATGAGCTGGTTTTTTTGTCAAAATTTACTTTACGGTACCAAAAGTGCTCGCTGGATATTTCCCAAGTGCTGTTGCCTCATTACTTCTGCCCTCTGAATATGTGCATTTGAGAATTTTTCCAGGGTGCAGCTGTTTGCAGTAATCCAAAGTACGTGGAAGTCTTTTAGGCTTAAGAATGAACATTTTCTCAAGAGGATGCAATCAAAGAAGGCCAGATCTTTTAAGCTAGAAGTACCAATAAGAGACAAATAGAAATAGTTTTTTAGTACTTAAGGCATAAGCAGATTCTACTTACTCTAGCAAAGTGGAGCCAAAGTGCTCTTACCTCAACCTTATCACACCTATCCCTCATTTTACCAAAAATAATAAATAAAACTGACTTAAAATTTATTATATAGTTACCATAAAACTAAGACTTCCCTGATTTAAATGATACCTTACTAACCTAAGAATCTTACAATAAAAATAAAAAAAAGCAATTTTATATAGACTTGTGCCTGGTTATATTGCATTTGAAAAATACTAACTCTGCTAGCTGGAGGAAATGCAAATAAAAAACAGATGGATTGGCTGAAACCTGGAGATGAAGGCATTTTAGACCCTTGTCTGTCATCAAGACCTTCATAACCACATCTTTTTTCTAATATGGGCATGTGGCATACACCTGCAACTTGTCAGCAAGAAGCCTACTTGCAGTTTTATTTTGGTTCCTCAAATAGCTTCTTAAAAAAAAAAGTTTCCTGATCCCAAATGGTGCTAATGAATGCTCTCACATACCATATCTAGTGATTGTTTTACTTTTGGCTTTTAAGCTGAGTGACATGGAAAAGATATTTTAAGATACGCATCTAATTGTCAGCTCTAAACTCTGTCCTTGAGAATGGTAAAAGTAACAAAAGACAACTTCAAAAATTGCTAGGGAAATCAACAGAACCCAGCCTTTCTTCCTAATCTAGACCCCATTCCTAAATAAAAATCATACTTTTGAAATACAATAAGCCAAAACTGACCTACCTAAGGCAAATGACTGCAGCACATCAAAAAATAAGTCTTACATGTAGCTTAGACAATAACTAGCAGGTCCACTCAAAAGACCAGCTACCAGCCAGCCATAAAAGACCCTCTTGCAAATGCCCTCTGCCATCAACTGTTTTGATCTGCCAAAATCACTATCCATTCATATCCTGGCTATCAATCACAGGGACCTTAAAACAAAAATGTCTATATAGCCTTGTGTCTGTTTCCTAGCCACTGGACATTCATTAGAATAGACATAATTCCTGCTCTCAGCAGAGTAATTTCTATTGCTGTGTAGCATTCATTATAGAAACAGAAAAATAAAACAAAATAATATATTGTTTACTTATCCTTGGCTACCAAGAGGGAAATGCATCCATAATTATTCCTTTGCTGTCAGTTGAATCAATCTAGGTATACTTTTTCTTTAAAATACAGGGTAAAGAAAACATGTAAAAATGTGCATGTTAACTATTATCTATGCATAAGTCAAGGATTTCAAAATCTTCTACAATACAGTGCCTGGAACAGAGTCTTTACGTTCAGAGAATTGTAGAGTACATTTCCTATATACAACACAAAGACACAGATCAGTCCCAGATGGAGAGGGAAGAAGCAAGCTGTAAACCAGCTCTACTTCCCCTGCAAAGATAACTAATTCTATTCTATTCTACATTATCCCTTCACATTCTTCAGCTATACATATCATTTTCTGGTTGTAAATCTCCATCCACTAAACACAGCTTTGATATCATGGGAAACCAGATGAAACTGAGATAAAATATGTAGCACTCCCTGAAGCTGCATTAAAACATCTTATTTTTTCATCCCACTTACAGGCAATCAAGTCATCCGTAGCATGACATAAACTAGATTTGCCCGTGATAATGAGTCACATTTTCAGAATGTGTTGTTTGATTAAGAGCATTGTTTGCTGACATGTTTTTTCCTCAGACATTCCAATTAGTTTTGTATCCTTGTATAAAAGATACTTTTGATTACTTGTCCAAAACTGTACAGCAAAGGGATTTTTGCAATGTTGGAGGATTCAGGCTAGATGTTGAAATGGGTGTTGCTTGTGATGTGCCAAAAAGTCACCTGCATCAGTCCACCAAGATTAATCTTAATCAATCAGGTCTCAACAACACAGAGATGTTAAACTTTTCTCTTGGAGAGAGAGAGAATATTCCTTCCCTTCTGAATTTATATTCAAAATTCCATGAATCTATGATAGAAATACTCAAGGAAAATTATGAAGAGGCTAGATGTAAAAAGTTGGGGATTTATATGGCTGAACAAGTCCTTCCAAGCACTGAAGATCTATCTTCCTTTCTTTACTAACTTCCCTGGAAGGCTGTGTAAAGAACTGGCTGTCTACATTTTGTGACTAAGTGGATAATGTCATTCCCATGATTTGAGAATCATGCAGCAGTGAGGTTAATGTTTATCTTCATCTTCCCCTTTTGACAGAGGATCTCTTAGCCCCTTTCCTCAGTGCAATGACAATTTCTTGATATATTTACTGGAGTCATTTGCTATCACACATCTTTTATAGGCACCACAGAGTTTCACTGAAAGCTGTAGAAATATTAAGTCGTGAGACTGTTGTGCTAAGATGTCAAACAATTTGAGTCTCTCTGTCTGGCACTATAAAACGTAATGGAGAAGCATTCTGGGGGAGAATAAGACAGACGCTGTAATGTGCTGAAGGATGAGGAGACTGATGGCAAACATACTTTATTGAGCTTTGGAAGATAAGGTCTTGAATTTCAGAATGGCCTCCAGCAAATATCTGAAGACAATATTCCCATCCAGTGTCTTAGTCACCAGGCTCTCATCTGTTCATATTATGATGTCTCATTTGTTTTCATGCTGAAGTACTCCACACTGTACTAGCTAACCAAATCGGTGAAAGGCAAGAAGAGCCACTGGCATTTTTACCTAGGCTGTGTCATCACTTATCCAACACAAGCAGTCGAGACACTGCTGGCTTCAGACCCACCTTCAACGTTGAGAGGAGCCGTGCCTAAATAGGTGTTTTGATGGAACAGATATCAGTAGTGATTCCCCCAAAAGCAATTAATTTTTATTTTAAACACATCATAAAGTCCAAGTGCAGAGTCAGCCCTGGCAGAAAATCGTGGCTACTACCACTCCCAGCAGAAGAAACAGCATGGAAGTTGTCCATTAGCCTTTCACTGCAGATTCCAAGCAGCACTCAGTAAGACAGATGAAGTTTCGTGTACCACAGAAATGACAGTACCACTGCACTTATTGTTCTGCACACTCTGCCAGATTTGGTCCATACAATCATCCCCTGATGATGGTGGGGACTGAGTGGAAGGAGAGGAGAAAAGCCACAACCTGTTGTATAGTCAGAAAGTGAGAAGTCTCCAGAGCTACCAGATCAGTCCTTCATCATCCTCTCTCACTTGGCACAGAGGCAGTAGCTACATTGCAAAGATGAAACAAGGGACTCAAGGAAATGGACACATACATTATTCCAGGAATGGCCTTGCTTCCTAGGAACCCATATGTTAGAAAACAAATTTAGGCTCTTATTCAGTCTTGTGCATACTACCCGTATTTATTAATAT